TTTTTTTTGGTATTCATCTTTCTCTTAACTGCGATTACTGACCTGTGGACAATGAAAAGATCAGTCTCTTTCCACTCTGCTCAAATACACGCGTCCAGCCCTACCCGATACTTCCTATTGCCTTATGAGAAGTTCCAGCACTTTACACACGTAGCAGTGGAAAGTCAATCCAACTTAATTACCACTTCGATCCTCGTCTCCACCGTTTGTGACAAACTTCCGCGATGCAAATGAAATGCTTACACTGATTACTGATTAGCCATTAACAACCAAAGCGACATCGTCATGATCTGTCTAAAAAAGGGTGGTTTAGAAGTTCCCTTGCCACCTTCGCGATTAGATGACGGTAAGACCATTGCGATGGATACCTTCCAAACGGAACTGTATTCGATTCCATTTTCCTTGTCGCGTATTTTATCTCGGATCTGCGTTCCAGCGTCTTCTCTTAGACATAACAAACAGTCAAAAGAAGAATCTGCCCTTGAGTCCCACCAGTCGGTTGAATGCAACTTCAGATCCGCTTGAAGCTGCTGAGAGGACGAAGTACAATCCCTCAATCTCATAGGTGCTGATTATTAGCGCTGTTGGCTCATCAGTATTTTTTGCGGCACTTAATACGACGTGATGGTTGATGTAAGAGGTGTATGGAGGGGATGGCTGGGATGATGGTTCAAAAGAAGAAAGAAAGACAATATAACACGTTGATTGTCGGGTTACCTGTACTACTGGTGGCCACTTTGGTATTCGTCTGGCTCTTGGGTGCGTGGATTGACCTCGCCCAACCCCCGCCCCCCGACGTCCTTTCCTCTGTGAATACAAGCACTCAGCTCTTCCTAATGCCCTCTAATAGCCCATGCAGGGTCTCAAGACGTTACAATCACAACCCACTTAAACGCTCTTTTCAGCGTAAACATCGGCATTACCTTGTTGCATCATGATGGGGAACCATCGACGCCAAAATAAGCACTGTCTTGATCTTGGATGGTTTCCAATTGTCATTCGTTCCGTGTCGAGGATGAGGAAGGCCTCTGTGCGTTCATCAAACTCCTGCCAACGCCACATTGGTAAATGATGCGGGAGACAGGTGGAAGTATCAACACCGAGTGAACTGCTCCATAAAGGGGCCTCCTTACTAATAGTAGAAGGCGGATTAAGGGAGGCAACATTTTTTCCGTCGGCGAGAATGTTAGGATCCCTAAAGCCAAAAGAGGGTAAAGAAATGTTTCTAATTAACAGCAAGCTGTAATCCACTCCTACCCAGTCCGAGCAAAATTTGCCCAATACGTCATCATACGGTCACTGAGTTCGCGTTCCGCGTCACCGAAGCGGTAGAAGTTCTCCGCAAACACCGGTGAAAAGGGAATGCCAAAGACGTATTCAATTTCATAACCATGCATTGTGTGAGTCCATTTGGGCCATGGCAAATTCTCTGTACGATGCACAAATTCGTAAAAATACGTACGTGGTGTGACACTTCGCAAAGACAGTCTATTTCGTGGCCCTCGATTTCGGTTGACAAGAGCTTGGGCAAAATCAATTGTGGGACATTTGAAACCTCGATCACTACTTATCTCCTCCAGCATTCGAGTCCACGTTTGAGCATTATTCTAGTGCAAGAGATGGAGGCACTTGACAATTTGTCAACCCTTTTGATGACCTTCTTCACACCCCTCAACAACTCACCGGCTCTGAATGATTTCGATATTCGAAGTCAGTGTAAATGGCCAACGGTTCCATTAGATCGGGTCGTTTGTCATGTTCAATGTCGAGGACTTTGTATAGTGCTTTGAAGTATTCATCATGCGTGGCCACAGGCAGAGTTTCAATGTTCTCCGCGAATGAGGCATTGGAAACGAGGGTGTAGAGGAGGAAGTAGCTACCTTCATTGGCATTCATGCCTATCATTACTGCGCCAGAGGGTTTGAGGTGGCCCATTTCAGCAAAACTTTGACTACTTCGATAGGGCAAAAAATGTCCATCCAACACCGGAGGAAAGGGAATAGAGAAGAAGGCATTGGAATCAATCAGATGACTTTGAGCTTCAATGAAGGATTCTGAAGACTTTAATTGAAGGCAGGAATGGAGGTCGCGTCCGCTGCGACCGCCACAGCCAACCATTTCAACTAATCTGTAAAATTTGTAGTAATTGTTGAGACGTCGACATGAAAGTGTACAAAAAAAATACTGCTTTAAGGGCGGATTTAAGTGGGTGGATTCAAATGATGCACCTTTTTGATTGATTGAGTTGTTTCTTTGGCGCTTCGATGCCCCAGTAGCTGAACACGGAGCCGGATTGAAGAATGGCATTGGTGAAAAAGCCATGGGACCAAGGTGAGATGAGGTGAGCACTAACACCCACAGCTCCTGCCGATTCACCGAACAGTGTAATCCTCGAAGGATCTCCATTAAAGTTGCCAATGTGATCCTTCACCCACTTGATCGCCAGCCTTTGATCCCACAGTCCCATGTTGCCTGGAACCTGTAAGAGAAGAGGTCAGCCTTCAACCTCCCACTCAATCACAAGACCTTCAACTTTATATTACGCACTCGGTTGTTGAAATTTCAGCATTTTGACCTAATTTTAGGCTCTGTGTAACAACAGATAATGAAGTTGGATGATTCGGCACCTACGGAGGTCTAATTACCATTGAAATAAAGGAAAAGTGATGCTACCTTTGGATTTCAAAAAGTTTCACATGTTGGTAGGTTAAAGTACGAGATTACTCATCTTGTTCTCCCTCGAAGGCGTCAAGCATCGTCTCGTTGTGTAAAAAAATCTCACTGCACGACCATCGTTGTCACTTTGATGACCCAAGTGATGGGATGAAAGAGAGGCGACATTGACACCCTCAAAACACCCATGCTTACCCAGGAATTATTGAGGTAAAGAAATCCGAATGGACCGAGGCGATAGTTTAGGGTGACTACAATGACATCCTGACGTGTCGACAGGAAACGACCGTCGTAGACGTCTAACACCGAAGAACCACTGTAGAATGAGCCACCAAATATCCAAATCTGCAAAAAAATATTATTAACTTGGTCCAAATTGATGAAACTGAGTTATTTTGAAGTTGCCTCAATGCTCACCATTACGGGAAGTTTTTGGACTTTTGCACACTTTTGGGCCGGTGGGAGAATGGGAACCCAAATATTCAAAAACAAACAATCTTCAGAAAGTGGTGTATTTGGCTGCCACATTCTCGCTCCAGCCGAATTCTACAACCTCAAAAGAGTGTCAGAGATGAATAAAAACAAATGGATTCTTCGTTCCCTTTCCACTCCAATCCCCTCGCAACCCGGTCCCTTCTGGTCTACCTCGCCTCATGATGCAATACAATGGCAGTCATCTGATATTTGTCAAATCGTAAATTCACTTAAACGACACACTTAACGCCCTAAAACGATACACATAAACAATCAGATTAACTTTTGTTGTCACCTGACAGATCAATTTGATGGTTTGTTGTGGTAAAAAAACTCCGGTTGATACATGGTGTTTGGATAAATAAACAGCACATGCTACCTAGTCTTGACGCTTAGCTTGACACTTCAACAGGATTCAGTTGGTAAAATGCAAAAAGTGGAAACATTTCAAAAGAGTACCTTCTTCTCACCTGAAACAATGTATCAATGTACTGATAGCAGGCGTCAGGCCTAGTGTTAGCGTTGAAGATTTGATCTGGTCTCGGTATTGGTGGTACTGGTTTCTTAAAACGAAGCGATCCAGTTGGTGGTTGAGCGTATCGAATGCCTAGAAAGTTGACCAAAACTATGGACTTCAGACAAACACGGAGGTTATCAACTTGTCAAAGTCTAGTCTTCATGGCAGATGATCTGTCGTGAGTGAACAAGTTGACAGACAAAGTCACCATATTTTTAAAATTTTAGACAGTGTGCAAACTTCGCTTGTGGTTGGAAGGAAAGGCATATGCACACAGGATGAGGTCTTAATGCACTGTGCGACTCTCCGCGACGAGGAAACAAGGTATTTAGAGATCTCAGCAAGCTGTGGAACATGAATTGGCATTAAAAAACTGATGCAATACATTTTTTCAGTTGTAGCCTTGGTTTTAAAAAGACGACATCTCCTGCTGTTGAAGTAAGGAGTAATCACCTAGCTCACAAAAGGTAGTTACTTAAATACGATTTTAACCACCACATCTTAGATTGTTATCACTAACATCCGTCGACATCAATGCTTTGCTATCAGAGAAGGGAAAAGATTCAGAATTAACACCTATGGAGAGACCTTCTAACGTACCATAGTAGATATCCACTTGAGTGGTTCGTTTTCCCGGCCAGATGACAGTTTCCCGACGACCGCAATAAGTACCAACATCCGTTCTAGTTTTGGGACTACCGTGTGGGCATTTGAAGGGAAGAGGAGCTAGTGGTACATGTGCTAAGGTGGACAGGATCTCAAATGAGAGAAGAATTACAACCGCTTCCTGATGACCCATATTTCTGCAATTGAGAGAAAGAAGGCAAAAATTATATTCTATTTTGATTACGGGTTTGGTATCCTTTCAAAGTCGATCACCTTGTCGTCTCGCCCTACTTTTTCAGTTAATTTTTACTTTCACTACGGAGATTTACAAAATCACATCTCCACTGTCTAGTCTATCTGCGTCGGAGGTTGCTAGGGTAAGATAATGGACGACTGAAGTAGGGGAAACGGGGAAGATGCTAAAAGGGATAAACCGTGCGTTGCTCCTGCCAACGACTAGCCAATAGGCGCGTCAGGATTTTGCACAGGGGTCCAGACATTGGTCGAGGCTTGCCATTGATCCAAAGAGCGCGCGTCAACAGTGACGTTGCAGGTCACGCGAGCAATTTTGGCTGTTAGGTGGAGCCAATTGACTGCTTCATAAGCACATACAGCCATATCCTCCATCATTTTTCCTAAAAGTTTGTGCGTTCGAAAGTCATAAAAATGCTAGTAGTTGTGTAATGGTAGCAACAAAGGAGGTATGATGATAAACGGGCTACTCACTAATCCCAAGCCAGTATGTCGGGTATGATGCGAATGCATTTTCCCGGACCTAATGATAAAATTGCCTCAGAAGACGTGGCTGGAGTTATTTAACAGATCACATTTTATGCACGTCAAAGGCCGATATTAAATCGCATTTTGAAACTTCCATTGCCAATAAATGAATTGCCATAAATGAGCATGGTGAGCTCGACAGAAGAGCACGGACAAAATTCGTTCCACTTTATTGCGGACAACACCATAGCAGACACCTTCAAAAATGCGGGCATGGCGCATTGGCATTGGCATGGCATGCAGTGCAACACTTTGCAATGCTTTGTATTTATCTTACACTTGGACGCGTAAAGTGGCCTGCAGACCAAGCGGAAGCTTAATCCCTCATCTTTTCTCCCCTAAATGCATGCATTCAGTCCAACTTAATTCCCTCTTCAAACAATTGAAAATTTGCCGAACCTTATATTGGTGGCAGCGGAGGTCCAACTTGACTTTTATTCCGGTTTGTGAAAGACTTCCGCGGTGCAAATAAGGTGCATTTACTTCCGGTGGGAGATTCCTTAACTCCTCCAGAACACATGAACTTAGACCAATGTCTAATTATGGCCTTTATTCCATCCTATGTTCCTCGAACAAGCTATTAACAACTGAAGAAACGCCGCCGTAACGCACCTACAAAGGGTCCATTTCGGAATTCAATGTACAAAAGTTTAGCACAGATATCGGTAAGTACACTGAGCCGAGTCCACTTTCACAAGGATCTGTTTTAAGCCCAAACCCCTGTTTCGCATTTTTCTTCGAATGGTGTTCAGACGCCTCTTGCAGGGCATAATAATCAGCATAAGTATTGTAATGCTTAGTTTACTTGACCACATAACGTTTGGGAGTCACTTTAGGATTTGTCCAGCCCTTGTACTCGTTAGCTGGCCTTCGGTCCATGCTTAGGTCCAGCAGCTTCGTTCTCTTCAGAGTACATTTATCCAGCCTCACTGCCTTTTTCCACCCAATGGGGAGTCTCGGGAATCTACAAGTATATGCTCTGATTCCTGCTTTTGGAGTAGACGTAACTACAGATTCCGGAAGCCGCCTGAAAAGATGAGGTACAATGGATTAATTCTTTGCAGAATCGAATAC